ACTCTTTTGTCCATCTCTGAGCTGGCACAAACCCCAAGGTCTCCCAGGTGGCTATTTGGGGCTCCAAACTCTGCCCTTTGGCTCATGTCAATGTTGGGGCAGAGCTGGTGGTAATCTTGAGCTGATTATATTTTACTTTTTTAATTAAAAAAAACCCCAACACTTCATATTTTGGGAAAACTTGAGCCCCTCAGGTCTGGGTTGGCTTTAACTGAGAAAAATTGGGGAAGCTTACCCCACAAATGGATTTGCCTGTTTTTCATAGGAAATCTGCTTCAGCCGTATGTAAGAATTCTGAGGCAGATGAATGTTGTTGCAGTTCAAAACATCTGGAGGGCACCAAGGTAGAATAGGCTGCTTTAGTCTATATAGGGTACCTCTTTTAGAAATACAGTTGCCCCCATTAACAGGCAACTGCGTCTGCAAATTTGTAAGAAGTTTTGGATGAGTTTGGATAGCTTCCCTACAAAACAGTGTTGGCAAACATCTTTATTTAAATAATGATCTGAGAGGTTGCCAGTGCTGCCGCCACCATTCATGATAATAATTTGCAGAAGATGGTGGACAGCTTACCAAGGTGGGGCCTTTTTCACAAGAGGATGCATGACCTCATCTGAAACTTGGCATGCCACAGGGATACTTCTGGAGCACAGCTTTCCAAATTGTGTGTCACAATGTTGGCTGCATTGTGTAGGTGTGTTGTGCAAATGCTCCTCCTGGGGCTGGAAAGGGGCACGTTTAACCTCCGGTTTGCTAGTAAAACTGAATTACTGTGTCGTGAAATGATGCATGTCTAAAAAGTCTGTCCCCAACATGAAAAGTTTGGAAAGCTCTGCTCTAGTGTATGGGCCAAGATGGAGAAAATGTCCAATGCCTGTCTGGATACAAAATCAAAGAAATGTAGAGCTGGAAAGCTGAAGCTTCCCTGACAGGTGTCCACCTAACCTCTGTTTAAAAACCTCCAATGAAGGAATTTCTTTCACCTTCCAAAGGAGTCTGTGTCACTGTCGGAACAGCTACTACTGTGAGAAAGTTCTCCCTAATGTTTAGTTCTTGCATAAGAACATAAACCCTGTGTGATAGATGCTGAACAGAGGAAAGGTCTGGATCCAACGTTAGCCCTACTCAAAGTAGGCCCATTGAAATGAATGAACGCACCTAACTTGGGCCCAGTAATTTCAGTGTGTCCATTCTTGAGTAGAACTTGTCTGTCGTTGAGCTCAGGCTTTTTCCAGTGGTCTGGGCCTCTCAGGAATCCCCAATGCACCCTTCTGAGCTATCAACTTAGTTGTTTGGGCTGGGTTGTTCTCGCCACCGACAGCTTCAGCATTGTGGGAGCATTTGGAGTTTTGTTGCTGTTTTTCTGATCAAGCTATGTTTTTTGTTACTGCCACGGGCAGCCCACTTTTGGTTTTTTTTAATACTTGGGGATAAACAATCAGAAGAAAAACATGTAAAAACATTTTTAAAAATAAAAACAAAGTTTTATCATAATGGTTGTTGGGATTTTTTCCTCCCTTTCTCACTAAAAAACACCTGGAACATAGCTGGGGGGGGGGGCGGGTTCAGCCAATGAAGCTGAATGTTGGAGAAAAATTGGGACAAACAAGGAGGAGGACTTCTTCACAAAGCACATAATTAAGCTGTGGAACACACTGCTGCAGGATTTAGTGAGTGCTGAATTGGATGTCTTTAATAATAATAAATTTTATTTATACCCCAGCCAGCGCCGGGCTCAGGGCAGCTAACACCAGTAAAATTACAGTAAAAACATAATAGGGGGAAAAAACCAATTTAAAATACAGGTTAAAATGCAATTTAAAATGCAGCCTCATTTTAAAAGTAGCCCATATATCAAAACCAAAAGGGGAGGGAAACATAAGGGTCAGACTGAGTCCAAACCAAAGGCCAGGCGGAACAGCTCTGTCTTGCAGGCCCTGCGGAAAGATGTCAAGTCCTGCAGGGCCCTAGTCTCTTGTGACAGAGCGTTCCACCAAGTCGGGGCCAGTACTGAAAAGGCCCTGGCCCTAGTTGAGACCAACCTAACCACCTTGCGACCTGGGACCTCCAAAATGATGTCATTTGTGGACCTTAAGGTCCTCCGCGGGGCATACCAGGAGAGGTGGTTCCGTAGGTGTGTGGGTCTTAGGCCGCATAGGGCTTTAAAGGTCAAAACCAGCACCTTAAACCTGACCCTGTACTCCACCAGGAGCCAGCGCAGTTGGTAAAGCACTGGATGAATGTGATCCCGCGGCAAGGACCCCGTAAGGAGCCTCGCTGCGGCATTCTGCACCCGCTGGAGTTTCTGGGTCAGCTTCAAGGGCAGCCCTACGTAGAGCGAGTTACGATAATCAAGCCTGGAGGTGACCATCGAATGGATCACTGTGGCCAGATCAGGGCTTGAACAAAACCATAGAGGAGGATGTGGCTATCTTACCTCCGGTATTGGAGGCAGGGTGAATATCTGTTGCTGGCGGAGCATAAGCCAGATAAGGGTTGGCAGGAGAGCACCAATACAGCTCCTTGCCAAGGGCACAAGGGAGCCTAGACACACCTTGGCGAGTGCTGCTGCACCCATGTCTAGGATATTGGTCCACGCAGGCCTTTGATCCAGTAGCGCACTGCTGATGCTGGAGCACTTTTGTATTCTTGCTTGCATCCCCTCAAGCACTTCTGCACACCTTTCCCACTGCACCCTATAAAGTGGTTAGACAGGTTCAGTTTAGCATCTGTGGGTGTGTGACACCTCCAAGGTGCTTACTCCACCAAGTTAGCAAGCTTACCCCAAGAAATAGGCCACCGAGTTACCTGTTTGGGCTTGCTCTCCTCTTCCACGCCAAGCAGGCTGGCCAACTCTAGTCGCTGTCTTGTGGTATGACTCATCTCTGTCTTTAATAAATAGGCACGGATTTCACCGGTGAAGCCTTGACAAGCTGACAGAAGGGCCAAACTCCAGCTTGCATTTGCCTCTGGAATGGAATAGAAATTGGCATTATGGCAAGGACACACAGAGCTACCTTAACACGTAAGAAAATCCACATCGGGGCAATACCTTCATTAGGCCAACTGCCACGTTGCACACACTGTTTTGTGAAATGTTTTGGTTGGTCTAATGCAAGTATTTTTTTGCCCAGGGTGAACGCTGGAATTCTTGTAAGGCTGGTAAGAGGTGTGCTTGCAGATTTTAAATTATGGACATCTCTTTTAAAAAAGTACAGCCTTGCAACCCCAAAATACATAGCACAAAAGGAAAACGAATTGGGAGGGAGGAGGACTTGAATAGGTGGAAGTTCTTGGAAGGGTGTTCACACAATAAAATGTGTGAACAGGCTCCCATCCAGTGTCAGAAGGGGGTGAATTAGCACATACCAAATTTTAGATTGTAAACTTGCTGGGGGCTGGGACCTTACCCTCCCTTGAAACTTGGAAAACGCCATGTGTGTTGAGGGCAGGAGGTCACGTATTTGCACATGCATATTCACACACACATAATTTTGTTAGTGGAAGGGGAAAAGAAGTGTTTGCATCACTGAGCTGAGGGCTGAAGAAAGTTTTTACCAAAGATGGGGGTGCTGGCATGAGGGTATTGGTTTGTTTATTTATTTTGGTATTTAGAACCTACCTTTCTCTGGTCAACTCCTACCCCGTGCAGCTTGCAAAAATATCTCAAGAGCTTTAAAAACTATCTTAACAATAACACAAGGCTGCATGGTGGAGGAGATCTGGGTTTAAAGCTGCGTTCAGCTGCAAAGCTGCGCTGGTGGACCTTGTTGGCTTCCTCCCTGGGTGGTTGCGGGACTAAAAAGGAGATGGGTGCCTCACACAAAACCTGGCCTACCTGATTTGTTGTGAGGAGAATTAGTGGGCAGTGCCCTTCTGCCACTTGGCTTAGCCTACTTCGCAGGGTTTTGTGAGAAAAACAAGGGGGCAAACAAAAAATAGGAGGGGAAGGGAACAATCACTATAAAAAACCCCAATTAAACATTGATACAGTTAAAGCAATGGAACCCAAAGTCCTTCACCTATGGGAGGAAGGAAAACAAACATAGATAGATAGATAGATATACACACACAAAAACCCCCACAAAGATTTTATATATTTTATACTGTACAATCGATATATATATATATATTATCTGTATAATCTATATTATCTGTATAATCAAATGGACTCAGCTATAAATCTGCAAATACAGCATTCCAAGTGCATTATACAAATGTGACACTAGATGGCGGTGGTGAGCTTATGGCAGATTCAACCTAGTTTTCAAAACGTGCCTGTCTTTTTTTAAAGCATTTTCACAGCGGTTTTTTTTTTTTAAATATATCTTTGTGTGTGTGTGTGTGTGTGTGTGTGTGTGTGTGTCTAGATTCCACCACGGACTGGTAGAATTGTAGAGTGGGAAGGGGGCCCCTGAAGAGCCCTCTCGCTTCTCCCTCTCCTCCTAGGCACACGATATACGCTTTCCCTGTTCCCCCTCAGACCCAGCGAACTACATTTCCCGGGGTCCTTTGCGCGGGCCGAGAGCGGCCTGGCCGGGGACGGACTGCAGCAGCCGCCGGGAGGCAGAGGTGGCGGCAGCGGCGGTCTCGGTGGTTGCCACTTCTTCTCCCGCCTTGCCGGGCCGAGCCTCTCCTCCTCGCTTCCCTTTCCTCACAGGCCCCACCCGCAGGAGGCCCGAGGCGAGAGGGGCCGGTCCCGGCGCTCTCCCTGGGCGCCTCCCCGCTTGTCACGAGGCGGCTCCACCCCACGGCGGCGGCGGCGGCGGCGGCCCTCCTCCTCCTCCTCCCCGGCCGGTCCCGCTCCTCGGCTCCGCGCAGGATCCTTCCCGAGGGCCCTCTTCGTCCTCCTCTTCCCCGCCCCCGAAGTGCCCCCGGTGGGGGGCGGGCCTTGAGGGTTGGGGGGAGGACCTTCCTCTCCGTGGCCCCCGGGGGACCCTCAGGACGGAGGGAGCGAGGGGTCCGCAGCGCCGTGGGGGCGGGCGTCCTCGCCGTCGGGGCGGCCGGGGTCTCCGCCAGAGGAGCGCGTCGGCGCCGGCCATGGAGCCCCCCGGGCAGGTCAAGGACCGCATCCTGGAGAACATCTCCCTCTCCGTCAAGAAGGTCAGCGGGGTGGGGAGGGGGTTTGTTTTATTGGGTTGGTGTTGGAGGGGGAAACCCACAGGCGCCCCCCCCATCCCGCCACAAGGGTGCCCTTCCCAGCCCCACTTAACCGCCCCCTCCCGCCCTCAACAGACACACACACAGCCGGCCATCCCCATCCCAGCATATTTCTCTTCCTTTCACCCTGTCACTCGTTATTCTTGTTCGCTGTTGTTGCTGTTATTCACAATCATTATGATTTGTTATTAAGATCTGTTAGTTTTCTTGTCCTTTTGCTGCCATCATCATCGTTCTTGAATTTATTATCTTATCTGTGAACTGACCTGAGACCTCCGGGTATAGGGCGGTATATAAATTCTATTATTATTATTATTATTATTATTATTATTATTCCCCGCCCCCCTTTGACAGGCAGGCTCCAGGGTTACAGCCGTCGCTTCACTTTCAAAATTAAAAGCAGTTAAACCAAGAGCAGGGTAGGTCACAGGAATCTGAGTCACTTAAGAACTGCTTCATGGGCTCCTTTCGGGGAGGAAGGGCAGGTTATGGATTTAATGCAATATAAATAAAACCAAGAGGTGCTATCCGGTACGACTTATACTCAGAGCGGGACCCGCTGAAGTTGATCGGTGTGGTGGATTTTGGGCTCATTGGTTTCAGTGGGTCTTCTCAGAGGAGGACGCAGCCCATTGTTGACGTACCGTAACAATAGTGTTGTTAGTAACGTCGTTTCATCATTGTCACATGTTGTTGATGTGATTAGCCACAGTAGCATAGTATTACTTATAATACTATTAAATCAGCCTTTTTAAATTCGTTGCAGATTTCTCAATCCTTTCCCTGCTCTCTCTTGATAAGCCTTCTATGCTAGGGGATTGTTGTGGGCGTGGGGGAAGAAAGTCAGGGACAGGGAAGCTGTCATAGACTACAATACGGTATTCTCCTGCTGGTGTGGCTTCTTCTGAACACTACCCACCCACCCAGGAGCACCCTATCAGGGCCCACCCCATGCTAATGATAACTGCTCAAGCTGTGCTTTCTGACCATTTCAGCAAAGCTGTCACCTCTGTTTTAGCACCATATGACATCACTTAGCCAGCTTCCCTGGTTGCAATTGTACATCTCTTTTCCCGCATGGTCTGCCTTTGCGCCCACAGCCCAGCTACTTTGCTCTCTTGCTTCCTTATCCTAGCTGGACTGTAATAAGCCTGGGTGTGCAGTCTCAGCAACAAGCAAGCTGCAGCGCGTGTTGCATTTTCAGTGGGCCAAAGGGCTGCTTTCTTCAGCAATGGATGTTTTTAGAGAAGCCTCTGTTCCCATTTTACTGACAACAAACCGAGTTCGAAGGGAAGGGCTGCAGCTCAGCGGTGAAGCACCTGCTTGCTGTGCAGAAAGTCCATGGCATCTCCAGGTGGGAAAATCCCCTGCTTAGAGCCCTAGGCAGTCAGTGTGGGTCATGCTGAGCCAGGTGACCAAGGGTCTACCATCCTAAGAACGTAAGGCCAATTGTCCTGGCTGTGGCCAACCAGATTCCTTTGGAAAGTCTGCAAGATGATGGACCTGAGCTCAACAGCATCCTCCCCCTGCTGTGCTTCTCAGCAGCTGCTATTCTGACTGTTTGGCATGCAGCTGTGGGTGATGGGTATTTGAGTCCAGCAACATCTGCAGGGTACCCTGATGGCTCCCCACCATGTCAGGCCTTCCCCCAGCAGGAAAGCCTCAGTGTTTTGTGGAGCTTATCTCTCCCAACCTCTTAAACAAGCAGATGCCTTCGATGGGAGGCACTTTGCTCTCTGCTGGCCCTTTGCTGCTTGAAGAAACAGCCCATTGAAGGAGAGTCAGCAGTGTGTAGTTCTCATAATTCCATTAATTGTATTTCCCAGCACTGCATCATCCAATTTACCAGTCATTCTTTCTTCTCCTTTGCCTTCTGTAACCTTTTCCCTGCCCCTGACTTTCATCCCCCAAGCCCATAATAACCCACTTATCCAAATGCACAGGCTATTCCGTGCAATATCTGCAGCCAGACGTAATATGAAGGGGATGTGCCTTTGCAGAACTAGGGTTTTATACTATCTAGATCTGGCTATCCTTTGCCATGACTTTGCTTGGCTGTAGGGAACCAGGGGCGAGACTGTCCTCTTTGTTACCAACTGTGCCTTTTATATTCACTGCTGAAATCCATTTTTTTTTTAAAAAAGCTTCATCCTTTTACTAGATCTGGCCTTTGGGTTTCTTTATACCCTATAATGCTCAGCCTTAGCCTTAATCCTAACTAGAGCTGGCGATATATCATCCAGAACCGGATTGAAGCCAATATTGTGATAACCGTTTCATAATTTTTGACTTGGCAATATGTCGTGAATCATGATGTGTGTGTGTGCTATGCAGAAATCATGGTGCAGGAAAAACTTTGAAGCAGGCAATGCCTCTACATAGCTCCATCCTTATTTCAGACACTGATATATTGGTATATTGCAACGTTTAGCTGGTGACATATCACAATATTGAAAACCAGATATCGCCCAGCCCTAATCCTAAACTGAAGACTCTTACAGTGGTTTACAAAACAGTAACAAAAGTAACTCACCCTTTGTGGTATACGTATATATGTGTAGTCAAACAGCAATATCCAAAGCAGAGATACACCTGTATAATGCAAATATTTAAAATGTTCATATAACTGTGTGCGTGCGTGCATAAGGCTAATATTGCCCTGACATCTGTCATTCCAGGATGTTGCAGATATTATGCACCGCTTCTTTGCTCAACTTTAGTCCTTTCCACATCCAGGAACAATATGTTCATTTTGGCGTCATCGGGATGTCTCAGATTCTATTAAAAACCGGTCTAATGCAGGCAGGACAGTGGGGTTTCTTCTGAAAGTACATAATGAACACCTTAGCCATTGTTGGTAGCTTAGTCACTGTTTCTACACGGTCCTCTTTGATAGTGTAACACGCAACAAAAAGTAATCACAACTTAAAAACCGTTTAAAGCAATCAGTTAGCAGTGCACCCTAGATACCAGCAAGTAGATGTCTTCAGACTTGCTTCCAACTTCTCTTCCCCTCTCACTCGCTCAACTCCTCCACCCCTTGCGCCACATAATCGCTCCTGTCTTCCCCAGGCAAATCCATTTCCACTTGTCCCACAGCAGTTGCACAAATTGCCAGTATTTCATGGCTGGCTCTTCCCACTCAACACAAAATATTGCATAAACTCTAGTGCTGGGTTGGGGAATCTCCAGCCTGTGGCCTACCAGACCTCCCCATTTGGCCCATGTGGTTGTTTTGGCCATGCCCAGCTGCTTTCTCCCTGTGGCTGCAAAGCAGAGAAAATGCAAAAACCCTGTAAACTGCTTTCCAAAATTCTGAAGGAAGCAGGTAGAGACCTCAAAACTTTCATAAATTGCTGTCCGGTAGTTTTTCCCTCATAAAATTGGGTCTCCATGAGTTCGTACTGTAAGGTCGCATCACCCGGGGCTCATTTGTGAGGGAAGGGTGGAATATACATTTCATAATCTAGTTAATCAGATGATGGGCCTAGGTTTAATTTTATAAGATGCCCAAATGTTCCCTAACTCCACCCTGGGAGGAGAGCATTGCTGTAACTCCTTCATCTCTCTTGTTTGAAAGTGGGTGGCATAATGCAGCGGTTGCGGGGGACTTGAAATCGTGAAGGAGTATTGCAAAATTCTTTGGCAAAGAGTTGTGATCTTTGCCATTGCATATGTGCTAACCTTTTGTGGGCTTTCCTAAAGCACCCTGGGGTGGTATCTAGGTAAGTCCTACTCGGCGTCAACCCATTAAAATCAGTGACCCCAAGATAGTCACACCCACTAATTTCAGTGGGTCTACTCTGAGGAGGACTAATGTGGAATGCAACCCCTGGAAACTGTCGTTTCGTTTCAGCAAGAAACGTAGTTCCTTGGGGAGGGGGCTGCTGCAGCTCGTCTCAGCCCTAGGAATTTGCAATGAAGAGTGGTATTAAAGGCTTGATTTCTTTCTTTGAGGTGAATGGGGAACAGCTGCATATCAGGTAAATCCATTCATGAGGTTCGGTCAAAGGGTCCTGAGCTTCAGTGGCAGGAACATGGTCTGCTGCGTTTAACAACTTCTGGGCTGCTTTATAAACAAGAGTTTCCCACCGGTGCCAGACTGTGTAGCCTGTGTGTTGGGTGCTGTGTCAGGGCAGCCACCAGCAGGTGCATGGAAGATCTGTGATGCAGAGGAGTAGGAGAAAGGTGCTGAGAGTGGCCCCTTGTAGGAGCAGAGCAGCTGTTGGCTGTGTTGGTTCCTGGGCACAGGAGGAGGGAGGCCAAGGCTGGGAGTTGGGAGAGGGAGCTGTTGTCATTCCTTCCTTGTCCCCTGCAGCCTGCGGCCAGTCAGGCATGGCCTGTGGCCAGGGAAGGGGCAAACGTTGGCATCCAGGCAGCGAAAGCGAGGAGGGCTGCTGTGTGATCAGCTCTGGCTCTGACAGGGCCCCCAGGTACAGGCTGTAGAGCAGGACCCAAATGGCCACCGAAAGAACGAAATGGAGAAGAGCAACTTTCCAGCTCCCGCGTTACCATCAGCAGAGTTTCCTCCAGCTGTTGCCGTGAGCAGAGAATGCTGTCAAAAGCACATTCCCTCCTTCCTCTCTTGAGAAGTTTCACATCAGTACAAGGTCCAGTTTGCAGAAGTTGGCTGCTGCCCACCAACCACTTAAGCGGGGAGCCCCTTTCCTCTAGCGGGGTTTCAGTGAGCAGGCCACAGTCCTCCTCCTCCTCCTCTCTGCAGGGCCCTCTCTTAGTGTGCTTTCCAGGATTTTGCCGCATGGCAGGGGATCTGTGGCCTCCCTGCAACCCCCCACTCCGTCCTTTGTGAAGTGGTTGTTCCGTCCTCGAAGGAGCAGTCATATGCTTTGCGTCAGTCTCAGCCTGCTCAGCTCATGAGCTGCACCAGCCGCTGCCTTTCTGGACTTGTTCCAGTCTTTGGAATCTGCCCAGCGCTGGCAGCCGAGCGCTGAAGAAACTGGCTCAGAGTTGTCATGAAAGGGTCTCTGGTGGGCATCACCCCCATCCCATGTAGCCCCCTATGCCCACAGAGCAGGAGCATGGCAAGCTGAGTTATGTAGGTTGATTCATTGATCCATCTAGTTCAGTGTCGCCTGCTCTGACTGGCAGCAGCTCTCCAGGGTATCTGGCAGAGAGAGGCATTTTTCTCCTACCTGGGGCCTTCTGCAAGCAAAGCATGAGATACCAGACGTGTGGAAGTTGCAGAGAACCTGCTTCCCTCCTGGTCTGAGCAGTTGTGGGCCCCACCCCACCCCCAGTTAGGGACTAGGTGTTCATGAAAAGTATTCCACAGAGCAGTTGGCCCCTCAGCACTCCATATGGCAGGGGAGGCTGGGACTGACCCTCTTGTCATGGGGGTATTTTTCATCAGCTCTGAATGGTCAGCCGGGTTCAAGCCGAACATCTCAGCCAGGCGTCTGTTTACGGTGCTCTCTCTTGTTTGTGTGTCCTGCCTGTGAATGTGCTTGGGCAATCACATGGGTGTCTCTTAAACATGGACGCCGTTTGTTTTGCTTGTCAAAGGGTTTATAAATAGCTCTGTGACTCACCAGACCAGCATTCCCACAGGAGGAAATTTTGCCCTGTCACCTTATGGGTCAGCTTTGCTTGGTGGCATCAGCTGGGGCAGAACCTGATCAGTCAAGTACTGCTTGGCAGGATATCCAGTTGACACGTGAATCGACACCCTGATCAGGGAGGGAGGTCCAGCTTCCTGCCTTTTCTGCTGGTCGGGATTTTTCAGCCCCCTGGAGCAGGTGCTTTTACCAGAACATGCAGTTTTTACCCCATTGGGTGCAGTGTGAGAAAGTCAGATATATAAACTAGGTGCCGAATGGCTCCTTAAACCAAAGTTAGTCACCAAAACAGGATGTTTAGTTGCCATTTTGGGGCCAGGCGGCTCTGAAGTCTTATTTTTCAAATGATGGACTGACTGTGATTAATTCTAAGTTAAACATTTGGCTAGTTCAGATGGAAACCATGAACTAGGTGTAGAACGTTGAGAACTTAAAGAAGAAAAGTCATTTGATCCAGGGACAGTCCACATATATTGGCCTGTTCCAACCTCTTTTTTTAATGGTTACACAGACCATTCATAACCTAAGAATATTCTTAACTGTGAGCAGGGCAGTGGGGTGGAGGAAGTGAAGACAAGCGACAACAATTAACTATATCATTGCTCACTGCTCCTTTTCCAGAAAAAGCATTTTGGCTCCTAAAATCCATTCTGATTGTGCAGATAGAATATAACTGATTGAATTCTACAGGATGGAGTATTAGTGTGTGAAAACAGTCCAGATCCAATGATTCCCAGGCGTGCACCTCTGGAGATGTCAGGCACCATTCTGGCGCCCAGGCATCTTCACTTCACTATCCCAAGTGACCGATAGCCAGGTGCAAAATGACTAGTTTTGAACACCATTTGGGTGCTGTTTTGCATCCACACCAAGGGTGTGATAGTGGGGTACAGTGGGTATTGCTGTACTGGGGCCAGGCCTAGAGCCAGTAGTGGGGTCGGACTCTGAGATTTCCTTTATGGTTGGGAAAAACGGGTTGTATCCAATTAACTGAATAAATGTTAATTTATTCAGTAATATTCATTTACTCTGAATAGAGTAGATCCATTGGAATTAATGACCATGATTAACTTCAGTCCTTTAGTTTCAGTGGCTCCCCAGGGTTTCAAGCAGGGGAGACACTGCCAGGGCCTGGGACCTTTGGCAAGCTTAGCAGATGCTCTGCCGCCGAGCCCCCTTCCCTGTGTGTCCTCCGTGTTGCTTCCCTTGCACTTGCCACCATTAGCCCCTAGGGGGCAGAGCCAGGCCAGGCCAACCCCCTCCAAGCCAGGAGCAGCTCTTCCTTGCGCCCCCCTCCTCTCCTTGCAGTCTGTGCTGGAGAGCTTCTGTGCAGGTACACTTTGGGACACACCCCTTGGGTGAGCAATTGCAAAATGGGCGACGGGAGCTATGGGGTGTTGCCTCTGCTGCCTCAGGCTCTCCCTGCGATCCGATCAGCTCGTCGCAGGAGCCTCATCCAGCTGAGGGAGCGCATTGCTTGAGTGTCCCTCCCAAAACCGGAGAGGCTGGGAACCCTGGCTTAGGGAGAAAATGTCCCTCCCACCTTGCTCTGTGCGTCTGATTGGCCGGGAGAACTGTCTGCGTGCACAACTGTATCCCATCAGGCATACAGAGGTGGTGCTGATGGAAGGTACCCACAATAAATATCTCCCTCCCCCCGCCCACCTGCTGCACTGCTGGACCCCTCTTATCACCTGCAGGAAACAGCTCATGGCCAGAGCGCCTGCCTTGCAAGCAGAAGGCTCCAGGTTCAATCCCTGTCAGCAGAGCCAGTGTGGTGTAGTGGTTAAGAGCGGTTCGACTCGTAATCTGGTGAACTGGGTTCGTATCTCCCACTCCTCCACATGCAGCTGCTGGGTGACCTTGGGCCAGTCACACTTCTCTGAAGACTCTCAGCCCCACTCACCTCACAGAGTGTTTGTTGTGGGGGAGGAAGGGAAAGGAGATTGTTAGCTGCTTTGAGACTCCTTAGGGTAGTGATAAAGCGGGATATCAAATCCAAACTCTTCTTCTTCAGCATCTTCAGGCAGGGCTGGGAAAAGCCTTTTGAGCCCTTCAGAGGCATCTGAGCTCCTAGGTGCTTGCCCCTTGCACCCCTCAGGGGTGTCACGATTCCTTCATTGCTACCTTCCGGCTCTACCGTTCTATAATTCTACAAGGCAAAATGCTCTCCCCCAAAACTCATTCACTGACGTGTTTTTTCTCTTTCTCTCGCCCTTAGCTGCAAAGCTACTTCGCCGCCTGCGAGGATGAAACTCCAGCCATCAGGAACCATGACAAGGTCCTGCAGAGGCTCTGCGAGCACCTCGACCATGCGCTGCTGTATGGGTAAGGCAGCCAGCCCGTCCTAACCACTTTCCAGTTGGATGCTGAAAATATTCCCAACCCCCAGTGCCACTCCTCTCTTTGAAAATGTTGCAAAGGCAAAGGAACCCGGCTTGTTTGAGTGGCACTTGGGAAGGGCTCTTACCGTCCCCCGTCCCCCTTCCTTGTTCGGCCCACTTTACGAGAGAACCTGTGAGCGTTTTCTCTTAAAGCAACAGGCTAGGCGTAAAAGCCCTGCCAGCTTCAGACAGGAAAAGGCTGCCAGGCAGACATTAAAGTCGCCAATATCTCAGTGCGCTTCTACAGATCTAAGGTGCAACTTTACTCGCAGTACGGCGTACGGTTCTCATCACCACACCTCAGACAGGGTCTGAAAACGAAAAGCCAAATGACCGATGGAGCAGCTTCCCTGTGAAGAGAGGTCGCCATGTTTGGGACTTGCTAGTGTAAGGAGGGGGAAAGGTGGAGAGATGGGATAGAGGCGTGGAGAAAGTGGGCAAGGGGAAGCTTTTCAGATCCCGCAGAAGCTGTATGGTGAGAGATTCAGGACAAGCAGGAAGAAGCAGCAGCTTATGAGTTCTCACAGAGCCCCCCGAGGTGGTGATGGACCCCACCCTGGGCAGAAATTCATTGGGGGGGGCTATCAGTGGAATTGCTAGCTACTGCAGCCATAGCCTTCCTCCAATATCAGAGATGGCAGGCCATCTGAATGCCAGCTGGTGGGGAACAGACATGGGGCTGTTGTGCTCACGTGCTGCCTGTGAGCCTCCTGGAGGCACCAGATTGGCTGCTGTGGGGCAGAACGCTTGTCTTGAGAGGTTTTTGGCCTGATCCAGCAGCTAAGCTCCTCTGGTTTTCTTCTAAGGTGACAGGTGGTAAAGGTAAAGGGACCATTAGGTCCAGTTGTGGCCGACTCTGGGGTTGCAGCGCTCATCTCGCTTTCTTGGCCGAGGGAGCCAGCATACAGCTTCCAGGTCATGTGGCTAGCATGACTAAGCCGCTTCTGGCAAACCAGAGCAGCGCACAGAAACGCCGTTTACCTTCCCACCGGAGCGGTACCTATTTATCTACTTGCACTTTGACGTGCTTTCGAACTGCTAGGTGGGCAGGAGCAGAGACCGAGCAACAGGAGCTCACCCCGTTGCGGAGATTCGAACCGCCGACCTTCTGATCGGCAAGTCCTAGACTCTGTGATTTAACCCACAGCGCCACCCGCATCCCCGTGGCAGGTGGACCTGGAGCCAATTCATGAGCAAGTTGAGTTAGATATTTTGGATCTGGGCAGGATCTCTCCTGAACATTTTATCTGGGGCTTCAGAGGCAATGAAAGGAAGTCCAGGCTGTGCGGCAGGTCCCCCTTACAATTCGGGAAAAGTGACCTGTTTCGCCTTTAAGGTAAAGGTAAAGGTACCCCTGCCCGTACGGGCCAGTCTTGACAGACTCTGGGGTTGTGCGCCCATCTCATTAAAGGCCGGGGGCCAGCGCTGTCCGAGACACTTCGGGTCACGTGGCCAGCGTGACAGCTGCATCTGGCGAGCCAGCGCAGCAACTTGAACGCCGTTACCTTCAAGCGTGGTAGCGGTCCCTATTTATCTATTGCACCGAGTGCTTCGACTGCTGCGTTGGCAGACGCTGGGACCGAACGAGGAGCGACCCCGCCGCGGGATTCGAACGCAAACTTTCGATCGGCAAGTCCTAGCGCTGAGGCACTATAACACGCCACCGCCATTAGAGTGGCCCGTTTTAAAGATACAGTTTGCTGGATGATGAGTTAATTAATTCGGGGAGCAATTATCTGTCTGACAGAATGCTGGTTTCAATAATTATGTGTAACTTGTGTAATGTATTTATTTGCTTTGTGTATTATTATTATTTTGCAATGGCCCAGCTACACAGATAAATACGGTAATATTCCTATTGCAGGCTGTGCTGTTAAACAGCTCTGAGGCAGAGGCCTTGACACAGTGGCTGTCCTCCCATCACCCTGTTTTTCCTCCTCCGTTTCCACAGGCTGCAAGATCTCCCTTCGGGCTACTGGGTCCTGGTGGTCCATTTCACTCGCCGAGAAGCCATTGAGCAGATTGAGGTCCTGGAGCACGTGGCCACCAACTTGGGGCGCAGTAAGTGCGGGCCAGAGCCTGGCTGGCAACCACCTTCCCGGGATGTAATGTGTCCTAGTGCTTGTGTTACATGTTTTCTGGTTCAACTTAAACCCAACCTGCGCCCTAGGATCTGAAGACAAACTACTCCTTTGCATCCTGGCTGCTGCCAAGACTAGAGCTCTCAGGATGCAGGAGAGAAACTACGGAACTCTGTCCTTCAGGGGGTCCCTTTGGCCCCCCTCTGCCTGCCTTCCACCACTCAGATAAGACACTTTTATTTAGGCTATCTTTTAATTTGCCCAGTTAGGAATTCTCCTAGTCCTACTCAGAGGAGATGCATTTAAATTAAAAAACCTAAAGTAGTCATGTTCCTTCTTAACTTTGACAGGTCTACTCAGAGTAGGGCTAGCATTGGCTACAATTCTGGATTTTTAATGGCTCTATTCCAGTTATTTTAGCTGTTGTCTCTTTTCCTGTGGTCTTTTATTATTATTTTTAATGCTGTATTGCTGTTGTTTCGGGGGGTTTTTTAAATCTGCCCTGAGCACTGCCGTTGTTGCTTTCTTTACTGTAGAACGAGAGAATATAAACTCTCTGAAATGAATGAAACACATATCCTGTTCTAAGCTGTTGCTCCCCTTTGGGCTCCTATCCAAAGGACTGATCCGGTCTTCCAGCTGCCAGGCCATTGGCTGGTTCCACAGTCCTCCTCCTCACAGGGGTCCCCCATCCAGGCACTCCCCAGGCCTACTGTAACCATGTTGTGTTGACTCTGAAATACGTTGGGACGGGAATTTGTGTTCCCTAGACCCCTCTCTGCTGACACAAGGACATGCAAGCTTCTGAGCTGCACTGAGATCTTCGCCAGGCTGCCAGCTTTGTACAGAACCAGGTTCCTTAACAGGGGCAAGGATGCTCTGATCCCATAGTGTTTTGCTGGTTAAAGCAGGGGCTGATTTAAGGCAGGCACCTTTTTCAAAAGGGCTTAATCCTGGGACATTTGATGGGCTTGGCCTTGTGTAAAAGCAACCTGAGGTTAAGGAGCAGGGCATGGCCAGGCCCAGAGTGCATGGCTTCCCAGCATCTCTTGGCAGCAGCTGAGCATTGTCTCATGACGACATCTCGGAGGCATTACCCAAAGCCTGTGTATTGAGTCTGATGCTCTTGACATTTAGCCATGGCGGGTGGGAGGTTGCCTACTCCTCAAGCAGTGCCCATAAAGCCCTCTCCTTTTCCGCCCCCCCCCCCCTTGCAGGCCGAGCATGGCTGTACCTGGCCCTCAATGAGAACTCCCTGGAGAGCTACCTGCGCCTTTTCCAGGAGAACCTGAGTCTGCTGCACAAGTACTACGTCAAGTGAGTCTGGCACTGGGATGGAGAAGGCACAGCTGCGCTTCCCCCCACCCTTCATGTTCAAACGGTGTAAGGGAAGTGCAAACTGTTGAGTCGGCATGTTTTAAAATACATACAACTATTCCAGTGCATTGGTTTCTTATGTAAATTGTCTTCTTCAATGCACCATAGAAAACACACAAAGTTTACATTATTGGGTGTCCCCACTTAATTGAATATTGCAGTTCAACAGACTTTGGGTTATTGGGAAAAGGTTTAAACGGTACGTTTTGTTAGCATGGATGACTCTCTTACTTTCATTTTCTAAATGGAAGTCAAATAAACACACTAATTCAGATTCCATTTGACTGAGGGTGCCAGAAGACTTCTCTTCTCTTTTCTTTTTTTAAATAAAAACTTAACGATTTTATTTAAACAAGATAGGCAAAAGGAAAACGTTTACAACAGTGTAACACAGTTCAGTTCAGAATACCAGACAAGGAAAACTTTCTGATTCAAAATTTTCTGGAAAACCAACATATTTGCCTTCATTGATGTTGCAAGGAGTCAAAACAGACAGATCTGCTTACATGACTTGGAATATTAAACGGAAGCCTTTTCAATCTTTCCTTCCTTGCGGAACTTGCAGAATTTGTCTGTTTGGATTGCAGAAGGAAGGGAAAGATCAGATGGGAAGAGGTTGGGCTTTGTTTTTACCTGGGTGGGCCATGAAACCTCTGGGTTCTTGGATGACCAGCTTCAACTTCTCTCTCCCACAGGAACGCTCTTGTCTGCAGCCACCATCATTTGACCCTCTTCCTCACGCTGGTCTCTGGTTTGGAGTTCATCCGCTTTGATTTGGACCTGGTGAGCAAATCTTCTCCTCTTGCTAGAGAGTAGCGGAGGGACACACACACAGAAGCAGCAAAGAACAAACTCTTGATGGAAACCTGCCCCATATTTTTCAATCCCCCTGGCCCCCATTTGACTACCCCAGTCTTTGGCAGCACAACTTCCTTCAGGCTTAGAATACACTCACGGAAATTTCCATGCCTCCTTCTGAGTTGCAGCATCTTCTTGGTGCCACAAGGAAAGATTAATCCACCTCCGGCCTACCGTTCAATTTCCTGCATCTATGGCCAAATAAAGATGCTGCATTGATTTTTTCCCCATTTTGAAAGGCCCTTGCTTCTTCTGTATTACATTAGCAGCATTTAAGAAGTACTTTGCCAGAGACTAGGACTAAGAGCCCTGTGTGGAAAGTGATTTACTGGGCTGGAGGGGGGGGGAGAGAGGCTGACTCAAGAGGGACCCCTTCATTACATTGGCTGTTCAAACCCCTTTCGCTACAGCCTTCTGATTTAGTCTGCACCAAAGAGGAGCAGCATTTTGCCTTCCTTTTATTTCTTAGGTGCCTTGAGGTGTTTTCTGAGCTTCAGTGGCGAGCCCTTTTCAAGGGCAGGCCACCCCTTCCAATTAATTTGCCAACCAGGTGCATCAGTGTCGGGGAACCTGCAAGCAGACCCTTTCCCCACAAAGATGCCTCTCCCAGGGCTCTGGGTAGTGAGATTTCTCCCTAGTCAAGTTACCCCCTCTTGTTCTTCCTTAATAAGCAGCCCTCTGAGCACTGGCCTGACTGTGGCTCCAGTTCTCTGCAGTGCTTGGAGGCATCTGGCCACATGCAGGTCCCCTAAGAGAGATGGCGCCTGGAAGCAGGATGGTGGCGGCAGTGAGCAGCCAGCTGTGCTGCCAGCAGGGGCTCTCTAGGGGAGGCAGGTCAGGAGGTGGATTTCTCCATTCCCTAGATGAACAGTAACCCCAGGTTTTTCCCTGGCCCTTCCAGGATGCCCCTTACCTGGACCTGGCGCCCTACATGCCGGATTACTACAAGCCTCAGTACCTGCTGGACTTTGAGGACCGCCTGCCCAGCTCAGTCCATGGCTCTGACAGCCTCTCCCTCAACTCCTTCAATTCCGTCACCTCCACCAACCTGGAATGGGACGACAGTGCCATTGCCCCCTCCAGCGAGGGTAAGTGGGGTGCAAGTGTTCGAACAGGGCTGGAGGAGGCCAGGGGGTTGTTGCACAGTGCCTGAAGTCTGCAGGCAGAAACCCCTCCTTGCTCACAAAACAGCAGTTTGGGGCAAAGGCACAGAGAGTCAATCCAGTTTGGGTATCTAGTAATGGTGCTGTTTCTCTGCAGAGAGAAGGGGAGGGAGCGTGAGTGATTTCGCTGGTAGGGTATTCCAGCCCTCTGTGCTGGAGAGCCAGAGCGTGGGTGGCATCTCCCTGTCTTCGTGGACAAAACCCAGGGTGTGGGAGTTACCTGCAGCCAGGTCTCTCCATGGCCTAAAAGGCTTCCTCTTGGATACACATGAATGGAGTACTTCTCTCAGAGTGGTGTCTTTGAAAATGTCATGCTGGGGGTGTGCACAGTTTTCTCCCCACCTTATGCTGGTTAAGCCTCATCTCCCTGTGCTGTAGAATGAACTGGGTAGTCCCGAGGTGCTAGACTGGACTGTACCACATCTGAGAGCCAGTCAGGGGAACCCTCTTGCGTTCAAAAAACGAACAAGCAAGCAGGAACAGACCCAGAGGAATAGGTGGCAGGCACAACTAAGGAGTAGACCGAACTTGAATATTCCTCCCTGGTAAACTGCCATGTTTGTTGCTGGCGATGATGGCGTTTCCTTTCTGGAAGTTTTGTATTTGGGGGAGCATTTGGAAACTGGCACCTCCCCCCCCCCTTGCAGCCTGGAGTGGTATAATCCAGCCACAGTTCCCCACCTCTCCTCTGCCCCATGCGTAGACCTGTGCTGGTGGGAAGAACCAGCATGATGTAGTGGACGGATTGTCAGATTAGGGCCTGGGAGACCAGGGTTCGCATCTCTGCCTGGCCATGAAGCTCACAGGGTCACTGCCTCACAGGGTTGTTGTGGCCATTAAATGTGGAGGAGGCAAACCATGTATACCACTCTAGAGCTCTTTGGAGGAAAAAGGCGGGATGTAAATGCTATCAATAATAAGAGCAATGAATGAGCACCCCGCCTCTGTCCCCCTTGACGCCCCCCTTGCACACACTACTGGCCATTTATTCCCCACCCCTTCCTTCAGCCTCCGTTTCTAACCCTCCTTTTTTATCCCTCGTTTTGTAGATTATGATTTTGGAGATGTGTTCCCTGCAGTGCCGTCCATGCCCACCACAGCCTGGGAAGGTGCGACGAGCTCGCCCGCTTCTCCGTAGCCGTGCTCTCTCTCTCTCTCTGCCGCTTTTGTTTCCTTTGTCAGAGCTTGCCTGCATGCCCCGCCATGGGTCCCTAAAGCCGCTTGGCGCCCCCAGGGGGAACCAGCGGCTCAGAAGAGTGCGAGGTCCCTCCCTCCGCCGTTCCTTGTGGGGTAAACAAGGGCTTGGCACTGGGTGCTGCGGCACTTTGGGGAGCGAGGGCTCTCCACCTCGCTGGCCCTTCCCCGCAGCCTTTGATCTCCCTCTCCCTCCCGGTGGGGCCAGTCCTGAGTGTCTTTAACATCCTTCCTCGTTCTGTGGCTTTGTCTCTGGCAGCATGAGATGCTGGGTGTCCTCCTCGTCTCCAGATTAACAAGCCTTCCAAACCCTCTTTTTCTGCACAGGCGTCGGTGATCCCCTTCTCCTTTCTCCCAGGCCACTAACCGCTTTCTCTGTTCCAACAGTGCATGGGAAAGACCCGAAAGAAGCCATCGCTTATTTGATTGCCACCAACCCCCCTTTTCCCCCTGGCAGCCTCTTTTTTTAAGCGGGCTGCTGCAAGCCCATCTCTTTTCTCTGCTCTCCCTTTTATGGGCTGTCTTGGACTCTGTGTCATCTCCTCCTCACAGGGCTTTGCAGCAGAAGGAAACCAAGGACTCTCTATTACAAGCTGCTCTCTGTCTTGTTTGTAGGCGAGCTTCTAGTTCTTATGATTGGAAAGGGAAACAGGGAGGACAGGACAGCAGAAATTTCCAGTGGGAAGGTGCTCCGAACGTTGAGTTGAGGCTCCTCCTGCCCGTTTTCCGTTCTCTTCCAAGAGCAATCTGCCCACCAACCCTGCGGTGCTCAGGGTTTGGGGCACCTGCTCATGGCTGATGTTGGGTTGCTTACAGAGCAGCTGAATGGGACTGCTCCTCTCAACTTGCTTGGAGCCAAGTCCAATCCCAAGGCAGCTCAGCACTCAGGGGCGTTTCTGCACTACAATGCTGTAGTTCTTTAAATAACTGAACAAGCTTGAAAACCTGTGAGTTCTGTCCAAACAGGCATTAAAACATCAGGGGGTGCTGAATAAGACTTTTCAGTGCCTTTGCCAGATTGTAATGCCATGATATAATAATAATAATAATAATAATAATAATAATAATAATATAATATATTATTTATTATTTATAACCCGCCTATCTGGCTGAGTCTCCCCAGCCACTCTGGGCGGCTCCCAATCGAGTGTTAAAAACAGTACAGCATTAAATATTAAAAACTTCCCTAAACAGGGCTGCCCTCAGATGTCTTTTGAAGATAGGATAGCCGCTTATTTCCTTCACATCTGAAGGGAGGGCGTTCCACAGGGTGAGCACCACTATTGAGAAGGCCCTCTGTCTGGTTCCCCGTAACCTCACTTCTTGCAGTGAGGGAACTGCCAGAAGGGCCTCGTTGCTGGATCTCAGTGTCTGGGCTGAACGATGATAAGTATCCCAATCTGTGATAAGTTTCCAAAACTAGTTTTAAACCGAAACCAATGAGCACTTGTGATGTAGACGAGTCCTCCTCTGATTCCTGGCTGCTTACTTTGAATGCCCCTGAGTTGTCTCAGGAGGTCTGCAGGGGGCACCAAAAACCAACCCTTTGCTGGAGGATCCTTCATGGGCCACTCTTTCCCCAGGCTTTGCTTCTGGCTTCAGGACCTTCTCGTAGGGAGGGGGGAGCTGAATCACACTTTGTTGCTTTTTCTCCTCTTGCTCAGACGGAGACCTCACAGACACCCTCAGCTGCTCGCGCTCCACAGCCTCCGAGGTGAACAACTGCCGAGCGTCGGCCAAGAGCCCAACTCAGCAGCGCTACAACCCTTTCAACGAGAAGGCGGAGGCATTGTCCTCCATTGAGACCACCCCAGTCCACTCTGCCTCCCAAGAGAAGGCAGACCTCACAACCACGGAGGGCACAGACCAATCAGAGAACTGCATGGAGCTGGAGGTCATAAGGTCAGTGGTGGGAGGGAGGCAGAAAGCCCAGGGTTCCCTGGCCAGTTGGAATCCTATGAAACTGCTTATTATCATAATTATCATTATCCTTATCTTTTTAAAAAAATATTTTTATTGGTTTTTACAAAAACAAATTCAAAATAATAAAGAGAAAAAACTTTAACCACATCCATATATGAGATTCTCTGAATCCCGTGACTTTCCCACGTCCCCTGCATTGGTGCTTAAAATGATTTTTCTAAAACTACATATCATTACATTCTCCAGTTTTCATTTCTCTAAATTATCCATATTTTTCATTTCTTTGCAAGTTATTTTTAAAGTCCAGCTAACACTTTTATTTGTTTAATATGGTCTCCTAAGTAAATAATAAATTTCCCCCCATTCTTTTTTAAAGTCATTATCTTCTTGATTCCTGAGTCTCCCAGTCAGTTTTGCTGTTTCAGCATTTCAGTTTGGCTTGCCATTCTTCCTTGGTCAGAACTGTTGGTGCTTTCCATCTTTGGGCTAGCATTATCATCATCATCATCATCATCATCATCATTCCAGGGCAGGCTACAGCAATTTAAAATTCAGCGCTGTGGGTTAAACCACAGAGCTTAGGACTTGCCGATCAGAAGGTCAGCAAGGACTTGCCGATCAGAAGGTCAGCAGTTCGAATCCCCACAATGGGGTGAGCTCCCGTTGCTCAGTCCCTGCTCCTGCCCACCTAGCAGTTCGAAAGCACAGCAAAGTGCAAGTAGATAAATAGGTACCGCTCCGGTGGGAAGGTAAACGGCGTTTCCGTGCGCTGCTCTGGTTCGCCAGAAGTGGCTTGGTCATGCTGGCCACATGACCCGGAAGCTGTACGCCGGCTCCCTCGGCCAATAAAGCGAGATGAGCGCCACAACCCCAGAGTCAGCCACGACTGGACCTAATGGTCAGGGGTCCCTTTACCTTTACCATATTAAAGGTTGGAGCAAGTCAGAGGAAGAGAGTATGTCCTAAAAAACCTCGCTTCTTGTGGGGTCAAAGGTCAGAGTAAAGGAGTACCTCTTCAGCATTCCTGTTGAATTGGGCCATTCTTCCATCTAGCTGAGTGTCCTCTACTCCTGACAGTAGCAGGTTTGCAGTCAGAGATACCAGGGAGGTGGGTAAGCTTCACTGCTGAGCTATTGTCCCCTCCTTAAAACATATTATAAGCTACCTGGATGAAAGAGGCAGCACCTTGCTCTATATTGCTCATGGCTGGGCTAACTGTGGCCCTCCACATGTTGCTTGACTCCAACTCCCTCCAGGCCCAGCATCGCCTGTGGTCAGGGAAGATGGAAGGAGCTGGAGTCCGACACCCACAGGTGCCACAGGTTCCACACTCCTGCGTTAAAGAGGAGGCAGAGTTGTGATGGAGGTAGGCAGGGGCAGGAGAGGCAAGTGACAGTCTAGTTTAGGGTTGGGGGAGCCGTGGCCTTCCAGATGTTGCTGGACTTCAATTCCCATCAGCCCCAGCCAGCTGCTTCTGTTCCTAATAAGCCTAGAGGGATGTCTTTCGGTATGGGACCAAATATTCGTGCTGGCTGCGTTCTATGGAGTGCTGTCGCTGCCCCCCAACACCCCCGTGGCCTGACGCTGCCCTTATGCCTCACGGTGCTTCTACTTCTCCATCTCTTTTTTATTTTATTTTATTTATGATTTTCAGGTTCATGCATTTCAATTTTACAGTCATTTTAACATTTCAAAACTTGACTTCCTTCCCCCTCTTTCTGCAGTTCCTTAAATTTATTTTTAATATCTTCTGCATTTCCAAATTAACTTTATTCATTTATTCATCTACTTTAAATATGTACTCTTTTAAAACAGCAGATTACAATAATCTTGCCAGTGTTCTTATCTGTTTGCAATTTGTCTATAAATATTCAATAAACCATTTCCATTCTTTTATAAAAAGGTTGCTATCTTGATTTCTTATTTTTTCCAGTAACTTTCGCCATTTCTGCATATTCCATAAGTTTTTGTATCCATTCTTCTTTCGGCGGGACTTCTGCTTCTTTCCAATTTTGGGCAAGTAACATTCTTGCCGCAGTAGTAGCATACATGAATACGTTTTTGTACAGTTTGGGTAGTTCTGTCCCTATAATTCCCAAAAGGAAAGTTTCTGGGTTTGTTTTTTTACAAACGTTATTTTAAACATCTTTTTCAATTCATTATATATCATTTCCCAGGAAGCTTCAAGACCAGCACACGATAAAAAGAACCTTCTTTCTCCTTACATTTCCAACACTTACTTGATTTAGAGTTATACATTTTTGCCAATTTACTCAGTGTTAGATATCTAACATCTATCTGTCTATCTATCTATCTATCTATCTATCATCTATCTATCTATCTATCTATCTATCTATCTATCTATCTATCTATCTATCTATCTATCTGTCTATCTATCTATCTATCTATCTATCTATCTGTCTGTCTGTCTGTCTGTCTATCTATCTATCTATCTATCTATCTATCTATCTATCTGTCTGTCTGTCTGTCTATCTATCTATCTATCTATCTGTCTATCTATCTATCTATCTATCTATCTATCATCTATCTATCTATCTGTCTATCTATCTATCTATCTATCATCTATCTATCTATCTATCTATCTATCTAATACTTCTCCATCTCTTTGTAGGTTAGCTAAAAAGAAGAAGACAGGCAAGAAGAAGAAGGTCAAGACCGAAGAGGTCAGACAAGAGGACTCCAGCACCACTCCCAACTCTTCTGCGGCCCAGGCTGGAACCCAAGGGGCAGGCGAGGGGGACAAGTCGGGCACCGGAGCCAGGCGGCAGGAATCTGGCCTGGAGGCCAGCCCAAGATGTCAGCAGCGAGAGGAGCCCCGCCCTTCCCCAGCTGGGCCTGTGCATCCCTGAGATGAAGGACACCTCCATGGAGAGGATGGGGCAATCTCTGAGCAGGGTGATTGACTCCCTGGACGATGCCGGGGGGTGGAGCCGCTCCCTCGAGCCCCCGGACCAGTCCTTTCGGACCGTCTTGCCAGAGGAGGCCCCCTCGGAGGGGCCACCCTCTGGCAGCGTTAGTGAGGGGGTTTCGGCCCCCATGGATTTCTACCGCTTTACCGTCGAGAGTCCAAACGCTGCTTCGGCAGGTGGTGGCCGCCATGACGCTGCAGGGGATGGTCAACCGCCACATGTTCCTGGTGGCCCTCAAGCTGCTGGAGAAGAGGAGGAAGGAGGAGGAGGAGAAGAGACGGCTGGGCCACGCATAGCAACGGACTTGCAGGAGGAGGAGGAGCAGGAGGAGGAGGAGGAGGTGGTGGTTGAGGCAGGCAGTGTGGAGGCCCTCGGTAAGCTAAAGGGAGACAGGGCCAGCCCCTCTCCGAGCAGCGCCGAGGACTCTGGCGTGGAAGAAGGCCAGGGGAGCCCTTCTGAGGCAGCCCACCCCTCTGAGTTCAGGTAAGTGGCTGTGCAGAGGGAACCAAATAAAGCTGCCAGGAAATCCAGTCCTGCAAAAGAAAGTGGGAACCTTTCTGGCCCAGGGCAGGGTAGGATGGGAAGGGGAAATGGTTATTCCCCTTTTAAATGAGGTGTATGGGTTTCTCTACCTGAGAAGAAAATGGTGGCTGGGTCTCCTGCTGGGTCTCCTGAGACAATGAGAAAAGACCGTGTGTGTGTGTGTGTGTGTGTGTGTGTGTGATTCTCAGTCATCTTTTATCTGTCTGGCAAATTGTCACTCCGGCCTGCTCACCTCACGGTGGAGCCGTTCAGCCTGGAATCTCTTGTTGGCTGCATTCGCTTGCTGATGACAAAGAATCCAGATGGCGTAGCTGACAAAACATTGCGTTGTGTAGTTTTTGTGTTTTAAAAAACCCAGGCAGCTTCTCTGACTTAGGTGCTGTGTTGCCCAAGGTGGGCTGGCAGAATTCATTTGAGGCTTCCAGTTACAGTGGTACCTCGGGTTACATATGCTTCAGGTTACATACGCTTCAGGTTACAGACTCCGCTAACCCAGAAATATTACCTCGGGTTAAGAACTTTGCTTCAGGATGAGAACAGAAATCGTGCAGCAGTGGCGCAGCGGCAGCAGGAGGCCCCATTAGCTAAAGTGGTGCTTTAGGTTAAGAATAGTTTCAGGTTAAGAACAGACCTCCAGAATGAATTAAGTTCTTAACCCGAGGTACCACTGTACTGTGCCTTTGATTAGGAGCTTCCCCTGTGCGACTTCCTCCTCTCATTCCTTCCTGTTCAGTGACAAGGAACTGCCTTTGTAACTGCTCCTCGGTTAATCATCCCCTTTTGCCCACCCAGGCAAAGCGTCTTTAATTTTACTGGCTTCCTCTCATTATTTACTTGGGGTTGTGTGTTTTTTATCATGAAATCCCCCCCCCTAGGGGGGGGGAAGGAATGAGAAGAAAACCGTCTCTCCCTCCTCCTCTGTGGGAAACAAGAACTAAGCCAGGGGCAGTTCCATCAGTATTGAGAGGGAGAAGCCGCAAGGAGGAAGCTTCTAACTCAGTTTGAAGGAGACCTGTTCAAAGACCTGTTCTGAGCAAACATTGTGGAGAGTTCTGTCCTTAGTGGCATGCAAGCACTTACATTTTTGACTTGGGGTGATGGTGAGGTGTTCCTCCTTCCAGCCCAAATGCAAAAGGGTCAACTTTGAAGAAGAATATTGACCATTGGGTGAGGGAAGCATTGCTGGATAATATAGTCCTATATTAAATTGCCACGTGGGAATGACCTCATAAGGCCCAAATCTCCCCCTCTCCCACTGGCCCTGAGATATTAGGTGGGAGGTCTAAACCTTCCACGCTTTTCAAGATTCATCTCTCTCTCTCTCTCTCTCTCTCTCTCTCTCTCTCTCTCCCTCTCTCTCTCTCTCTCTCTGCACAGGGTGGACAACAACCACTTGTTGCTGCTGATGATCCATGTCTTCCGGGAAAATGAGGAGCAGCTGTTCCGGGTAGGTCTGTGAGGTGTTGCCGCCTTCTCTTCTCTTTCCCCCACTCCTTTGGGATGTCCCCCTCTCCACGTACTCAGTTTCTCCTGTCCTTAAGAGGCAAAGTGAGGGTGTGTGTGTGTGTGTGCGGGGCTTGATGCCAGCCAGCTCAAAGCCTGCTTTGGAGGGGAAGAACTCTTTTCCGTCCTAGAGTCACCAGCAGTTCCAGCAGATCAGGGGCAGGGAGGATCTTGGGCGCGCCTTGCAGCAAAAGAGCAGTGTTCCATGGGCAGCATTGCCCCAATGGCAAAGTTGTGTCCAGTGGGTGCGTTTCACGGAGCCCCTGCGGCAAAGCCTTAACGGGGCGCCTCTCTCTTTTTCCCCCACGCAGATGATCCGCATGAGCTCTGGGCACATGGAGGGCAACCTCCAGCTCGTCTACGTGCTGCTGACCGACTGCTACGTCTACCTCCTCCGCAAAGGTATCCTGCCAAGCTGGCCCAGTCTCTTCCCTTCTCCGGGCACAGGCCCCGATCCTGGCTTTGCACTTGCAAAGGAGCCATTTAGTGATGTTTCAGGGGTGATTATTTGGCAGGCAGAGCTGCAGATGGTGGATTGGAAAAGCATTTTTACCAGGGCTGTTTAACACATCCCTTCTGCTCCCTTTGTGGCCCACTGGAGTCGCAAAAAGTATTTGTCTCACATAATATACTCCACATACACCTGTCTTTATCCCTCCCCCCTCCCGCAAATAACTTGGCACTCCCCGTCTTACTTTCTTTTGGGCAACAGGAATTTCCAAAGGCAGGGTTTTGGTGCCATACATACATAACAGCCATCTTCAAATAGTTCAAGGGGCTGTCGCATGGAAGATGGGTCAAGCTTGTTTTCTCCTGTTCTGGAGGGTAGGACTCAAACCAATGGCTTCAAGTTACAAGAAAGGAGAATCCGACTAAATATCAGGGTCCCTCATGGGTCCCTTCCAGCTCTACAGTTCTATGATAATTTAATTTGTATGCTGCCTTTCCACAGTTCAAACCATGCTCAAGGTGACCTACAAAATGAGAACAATGCATAGCTACAACATGACAATAGTACAGTCATACCTCTTGTTACGTTTGCTTCAGGTTAAATCTTTTCAGGTTGTGTCCCGCGGCGAACCGGAAGTACCAGAAAGCGTTATTTCTGGGTTTCGCCGCTCATGCAAACGCTCAAAATGACATCATGCGCGGAAGCTGCGAATCACGACGCGCAGAAGTGGGTTGGGTTCTGCTCATGTTGCGAACGGGGCTCCGGAATGGATCCTGTTCGCAACCAGAGGTACCACTGTAGTCATAAACAACAAATAAAACATTTTAAAAAATCACAACCCAACTGAACAGCTTCCACATAAATCACAAGAAGATCTATAATAAAAATGCATAAATCACAAGAAGATCTATAATAAAAATGCAAAAAAAAAACAACCCCCAACAGCAACAACCCTCCCCTCCCCCCATCACCCCAGCCCAAGAACCTGGCGTGGGGGCATCCCGATTTAAATTTGCCCTGGAGGCGGTTTAGTGGGTGGGCTTTGTTGATGCTCAGTGTTGCCTGCGCTGACTGGCAGCAGTGCCTCTCCATGGTTGCAGGCGTTGGGGCAGGCATTCCCAGCCCTACCTGAAGAAACTGCGAGGGATTGAACCTGGGGTCCTCTGTGCGCCAGGTAGGTGCTCTGCCACTGAGCCACAGCCCTTCCTCTTCTTGGTGGGGAAGGGCAGATTGTGTGGCATTGCCTTGCTCAGTTCAAAGCCTGCCTCCCTGTTTGCTGTGACTGTGTCCAGGGAGAGAGGCTTCCAGACCAGCCTCCTGCCTTCTGTTGTAGTTGCTTTGCTTTTTTTTTTTAAGTGAGGATGTGAGCAATATCACCCGGGGCCTAATCACTGAGCTGCAAGAGGCCATGCCAGGTGATCCAGAGACCCTCGTGGGTGGGCTGCAACTTTCCCAAACCATGTGACTGACTTGGCTCTCTCCCTTTTTCTCTCTCTCCCTCCTCCCTGCTCCCTCACCCTCTTTGGCTCAGGAGCTGCTGAGAAGCCCTACATGGTGGAGGAAGCCGTTTCCTACAATGAGCTGGACTACATCTCAGTGAGTTGGGAAAGGGGGACTGAGGCAGGGGGACAGAAGCTGGATCCAGCCATGGTACACATGGGAGGAGAGGGCCTTCTTGTTTTCAGTGCTCTGAATCCTAGGGCAAGGGTGCTGTTCCCAAAGAGAGGTGGGGCTTTTACCAGTGCAGGTTCAAAGGCACAGAAGATGCCATGGTGAGCTGCTGGCTTCTGCCTGGAGGGGCCACACACACACCATTGTGTGAATGCAGCAGGGGCAGCTGGACCTGTTGAAGCTGCTTGGCAGCCATGGAGATTGCAGAGTTGTGGCCACAGAGGGCATAATGCCAGGCTCTGCAGCACCAAGCCCCCCCCTCCAGTGCCCACCTTTGAGCAGCCCACTTTTTAATTTTTTTATGATTTTCTATTTTATACATTTCAGTAATTTTACCATCATTTTAACATTTTGAACATTTCGACTTCCTTCCCACTCTTTCTGTGGTTCTTCAAATTTATTTCATATATTTTCTGCATATTCCAAATTAACTCTTTTTAATAATATTTTTATTAGTTTTCATTAATAGCCTCATTATAACAATGCAAAATTATAATACAATTACTAATACCTATCATTCAAATACCAAATTATATAATTTAGGTGCTCCCCCCCACATGCTAGAATTGATGGTTTGATTATTTTCTTTATATCTGCGTTCCAAAATCTTATTAATTTTAATTACATTTCTGTCATAATAATAATCCCATATACAACAACTGCAATGTTAATTTCTATTCATATTGACACATTAAATGGTTTATGAAACTACAAGCCAGGCACTCAAACTATGTCCTTGTTCTTCCTGTGTGTGACAATTATTCTGTCCCTAATGTTTTTTCCTGTCCTTGTAAAATGTTGTGTCTGTCTTTCCCGCTTGTTGCTGTTCTCCATCATGACTTGGGCGGAGCTAATATTCCATTGTTGTTTCAGAAATGCATATTCCATATTAACTTAATCATTTATTCATCTACTTTCAATGCATACTCTTATAAAACTGCAGGTTATTACAATAGTCCCACCAGTGTTCTTACCTGTTTACAGTTTGTAAATATTCAGTTGGGCAGCCCACCTTTGAGCAGCTTCTCAGCTCAAAGGCTGAGGGGCTCTCCTTGGTCCTGGGGCTCCTTCCCTGACCTGGGGTGCCTTCCTTCTGCCGCAGGTGGGCCTGGACCAGCAGACGGTGACCTTGGTCTGCACCAACCGCAGGAAGCAGTTCCTTCTGGACACGGCCGATGTCACCCTGACCGAGTGAGTAAAGCGCCAGCCTGGCATGCCTGCTCCCTTCCTGGCACCTTTATGAGGCAGCTGCCCGCTTTGTGGCCTTGGGTGCTCTTGCCCTGCACAAGGCAGAGCAGTGTGCCAGCTGGGGGCGCAGAAAGGGACTGGCCTCACATTTTAAGGGCTCCTCCCTTACCAGTTTGCTTCTGGGATGGCCTCAGAAGAGCCTGCTGACTGCAGTAAGGCTGTAGTGGTTAAACCACAGAGCCTCTTGGGCTTGCCGATCAGAAGGTTGGTGGTTCGAATCCCCTCGACGGGGTGAGCTCCCATTGCTTGGTCCCTGCTCCTGCCAACCTAGCAGTTCAAAAGCACATCAAAGTGCAAGTAGATAAATAGGTACCGCTCTGGCGGGAAGGTAAACGGCGTTTCCGTGCACTGCTCTGGTTTGCCAGAAGCGGCTTAGTCATGCTGGCCACATGACCCGGAAGCTGTACGCTGGCTCCTTCGGCCAGTAAAGCGAGGTGAGTGTCGCAACCCCAGAGTCGTCCGCGACTGGACCTAACAGTCAGGGATCCCTTTACCTTTTAAATGCTACTAAGGGGGGATGGGGAGGATTTCAGTACATTCCCAGTACGTTTCTGAGCACAATTGAAAGTGGTGGTGCTGACCTTGAAAGCCCTAAATGGCCTCGGCCCTATGTACCTGAAGGAGCGTCTCCACCTCCATCGTTCAGCCCTGACACTGAGGACCTCCTGGCAGTTTCCTCACTACAAGAAATAAAGTTACAGGGAACTAGGCAGAGGGCCTTCTTGGTAGTGGCAACCGCCCTGTAGAATGCGCTCCTTTCAGATGTCAAGGAAATAATCTACTATCTGACTTATAGAAGACATCTGAAGGCAGCCCTGTATAGGGGAGTTTTTAATGTTCATTGTTTTCCTGTGCTTAATGTTTTAATTGTTGGAAGCTGCCCAGAGTGGCTGGGGCAAACCCACTCAGATGGGCAGCATATAAATTATTATTATTATTATTATTATTATTATTATTATTATTATTATTGGATCAGCTTTGGTTTTCTGGCCTGATCCCCCATTTCTGGGCATGAATCCTCACCCCCTGTCTCCCGCTTTTGCCCTCTGTATTCCCCCCTCCCTCCCCCAGGTTTTTCCTGGTGTGCCTCAAGTCAGCCATGATCAAAGGATGCCGAGAGCCGCCGTATCCCAGCATCCTGACGGACGCCACCATGGAGAAGCTGGCGCTGGCCAAGTTTGTGGCTCAGGAATCCAAGCGGGAGGTGAGGAGGGCACTCTGGGCCATTTTCCAGCCAACTGCAGGCAGTTTAAGTGCAAGACCTGTTTTCAGCAAGGGGAGAACATGACTAGTGTCTGCATGTTGCGCAATGATCAGAATGAGAGCAGCTCCACTTTTGCACTGCGTCTGAGAGAATTCCATATGCAATAAGGCTGCGGGTGGGGGGCCGTTCTCCCCAAGCCACACCCACCTGTCAGTCAGCTGACATCACCAGGTGACACCAGCTGGTTGGCAGGTCAGTCCTGCTGGGTTCTGCTTCACCAGGGAGTTCCCCATGAGGAGTGTCCCCCCTACAGAGAACAGGAGCCAATCCTCCACTCATCAGCTGGTGAACAGAGAGTTCAGTCCTGCTATCTGCTGCTTTGCCAGCCTGTTTCCTACTGGGAACACCCTGGTGGGCAGGGGTCACACAACATCATAATGACGTTGGCAGGGGGGGGGGTTGAATGTGCCAAAAAGGTTCCCTGCCTCATCTGTGAGGAAAGAAGTCTTGTTCTCTGCCAGTTTCCCCACCTGGATACTTAGCTGCTGCTGTCCTCCTTCCCCACAAATAGGATTGGTTCAGGGGTCCCCCTGGCATTTCAGATCCTCTGCCCCCCCCCCACCAAAGGGCCTTTCAGGCACCTGCCCTGGAGGGACTTCATCACAAGCTCCTTCCTGCTCCCCACCCCCAGTGCTATGAAGCTATTAACCCCACTTGTGGATTGGGGCGGGGTCTCCTTCAGATCTCGGATGTGGTAGTCCGCTTCTACGGCCTGATCCACTGGGAAGACCCCATGGACGAGACTCTGGGGCCAGCCCCCTCGGACTACATGCTAGCCGAGCATCCCATCACAAAGGAAGGTGTCCTGAGCTACAAGGCAGGCACCAACTACCTGGGCAAGGAGAACTGGAAGACCTGCTACGTGGTGCTCAGGTGAGAGAGAGACACGATTCAAGAGTGAGCGAGGACGGGAGCACAAAAGGGTCAGAGCAAGCGCCATGGGCTGCTTCTCTTGCTGTTTGTGCCTCCAATGTGCAGCCCCCCTTTGCCTTCCTAATGACCCCCCCCCCGCCCCCGTCGGACATTGTGCCCTGCGACTCTCATCAGCATCAAGCTGCACAGCTGATGCAGCAGCTGCCGTGAGTGGCCACCCTTTGCCAGAGTGGTTGAGCTACCCAGTCTGAGTCCTGAACACAGGACAGGATAGCATGACGAAATTGGCTCTTGCATTTTCCCTCCACAGCAACGGCATCTTGTACCAGTACCCGGACCGTGCGGACGTCACCCTTCTTCTCTCCGTGACCATGGGGTGAGTTTGCCCCACGAGGCAGGAGTCTTCCAGATCTTCCCTCTTCCCCACCCATACCCACCCCACTCACTCACAACCCTCTCTGGCCCTCCTTGCAGTGGGGAGCAGTGTGGAGGGTGCCGGAGGTCAAACGGGACGGACCGCCCCCACTCCTTCCAGGTGATCCTGACCGACAGGCCCTCCCTAGAGCTGAGCGCTGAGAGCGAGGAAGGAGATGGCTGATTGGATGCAGTACCTGTGCCAGGCGGTCTCCAAAGGGGTGAGAAAGAGCTCTGCTTCCAGATCAGACCAGTACGACTCACAGGGGTTGCCGCTTAGGAGGGGTCCTAGGCAGCCTGGGCTTCTGTGGCCCCACAAAACCACTTTTGGACCTCATCAGTAAAGGGGGTAAAGGTAAAGGGACCCCTGACCATTAGGTCCAGTCGTGGCCGACTCTGGGGTTGCGGCGCTTATCTTGCTTTATTGGCCGAGGGAGCCGGCGTACAGCTTCCGGGTCATGTGGCCAGCATGACTAAGCTGCTTCTGGCCAACCAGAGCAGTGCCCGGAAATGCTGTTTACCTTCCCACCAGAGCGGTACCTATTTATCTACTTGCACTTTGACGTGCTTTCGAACTGCTAGATTGGCAGGAGCAGGGACCGAGCAACGGGAACTCACCCCGTCACAGGGATTTGAACCACGACCTTCTGATCAGCAAGTCCTAGGCTCTGTGGTTTAACCCACAGCGCCATCCGCGTCCCTAGTAAAGGAGGAGACCTGCTGAAATGAATAACTGCAAGTTAGCCATGTTCATTAACTTCAGTGGGTCTACTCCTGAGTAGAACTGGAGAACCAACACACGCCATATGCCAGAGCTTTCCAAACACTGTTAGTGTGTCAACTGCAGTGTGTAGGTGTGTTGTGCAAACTCTTGCCGGGCTGGAAAGGGGTTAGTTTAATTTGCTAATAAAACTGATTTACTATTTTGCGAACGGATGCATGTCTAAAAAGTGTGTCACCAACATGAAAAGTTTGGAAATCTCTGCCTTCTTCCAGGTTGTCCCCCAGGGTGTGGTTCCTGCCCCCTGCGTCCCTTGCTGCCTGGTGCTGACAGATCAGAAACTCTTCACCTGCCACGAGGACTGCCAGACCAGCTTCTTTCGCTCGCTGGCCACGGCTGAGTTGGCGGATGTGGTCTCTGTCTCCACAGAGGCTGGCCGGGAATACTGTATCTTGGTGAGTATTTGGGTGACCTGGGAGCATGTGCCACATGGGTGTGTCCAGCTAGCAATGGCTACAGACACCTTATACCAGATCATACCATCAGTCCACCTAGCTCAGTATTGTCAACACTGACTGGCAGCAGTAGCTGTCCAGGGTCTTGGGCATGGGACATTTCCAGGCCTACCTGGAGGTGCTGCCAAGGACCGAATGTGCCACCTTCTGCATCCAAATCTGAGCTTTGACCCTTCTCCTAAAGAGTAAGTAAAGTAAGTTCTGAATACTGATTGGCAGCCATCTGTCTCGGAAGACACCTTCGGGAGTGAAGTCAAACCATTGGAGTGTTACAGTGCCTGCTGTGGCTGGAGAGACCAATGTGGGGGGACCTGTTTTATTGCAGGTGGGGCAAATTTTGCTGCTGTGGGCGCACCATGGCATTTCTTCTCTGTGTGCTCCTCCCTTCCTTCTCTGGCCGCTGATGAAGCCAACCTTCGTGACTCGTTTGCAGACACCTTCCTAACGCAGAGTCGGTCTGCCAATGGTCCCGAAGGCAGCTCTGCGTAGCGTCCTTGGGGATCCCGCCATATTTCATTTTGTGTACCACCACCAAGCCAGCATAGTTCTGAATAAAGGGCCGATTTAAATAAGAAAATAGGTAGCTGCCTTATACAAAGTCCGGCCCGTAGTCTGCCTTGCTAATTATTGTCAATTACTGATCAGCATATCCAAAGGCTTAAAGGGACCCTGAGGATCATCTAGTCCAGCCCCTTGCGATGCAGGAACATGCAGCTCTCCATTACGGGCAGCCTTGCAATTACCAGCACTATTCTAGCCAACTAAGCTATCCAGCTCTTCAGGGTTTACAGACAGGAGGAGCCTATTCCCAGCCCTGCTTGGAGATGCTGACATTGGAGATTGAACCCAGGTCCTTCTGCATGCCAAGCAGGTGCCCTTCCCCTCGACTGATGTGTGTCTTACCCTCTCTCCCTCCCTAGGAGTTTGCCCAGGACCGCAAGCAGTACCTGCCCTCCTGGGTGCTCTATTTTAGCTGCATAGCAGAACTGGAGAGGTTCCTCCTGGCATTGGACACGGTGTGGAAAAGCACATACCAGGTAAGCTGGCATGGCTGTTGGCAGGCCTCACTCCTCTGAAAGGCGGCCAGGTTTTGCCTGTCTCCTCCCTTTCCTGCACACTGAGGCCCAGGCTGTGTCTTGGCTCCTACAATGGCATTGCCATCAAACCATAGGGGTGGCTGTGCTGCTGCTGCTGCTGCTGTGAAAGGTAAAAAGGGCCTTTTGTTGACGTCCTTCTGTTTCAAGAGACAATGGAATGCACCTCCAGGGGTGAAGTCAAACTGCTGCATTGGCAGCATCGAAGTGACCTCCCTGGGGCGCAAGCCTAGACAGTGTGCATGGATGTTCTGGGATGCCCAGACGACAGGCCCCCCTCTCGGCCTCGCTGATGTGGAGCAAAGGAAAGCAGAGCAATACATTTGGCACCAGCGGCTGCAGGAGTTGCTGGAAGGAGGTGTACAAGGCACCATCCAACCATCTTCGAGAATCCTCTCTCCAGATTTGAGTAGGGTTTATTCCTTAACCTTGTCTTCTCTTGAAGATATCCTACAAGGCAGAGTTTTCCTTCTCCTAGTTGCAAATAAAGAGATCCCAATAATACCTGTACTGATGACATAAGGCTGTCATCACATTCTGATTCAACATATAGCAAGGGACGATGAGACTCTGGGCACATTCATCACTCCTTCCTCTTTTATAGAATATGGTTTATTCAGACATAGTGTACTGCAATAAAAAAACAAACTAATCTAAACAAAAACAGAGAAAGAAGAAGTCCTCTTTCACAGGCAAATCTTAATTTGTCCCACACAAAGGGAGGGGCCATTCCAACTCTCACTTGGGAGTTTACCTTTCTTTTTCCATCCTCCCACCCTGGGAGATCTTCCTTTCCCTTCATCCATCCATCCATCCATGTTAACCCCTCCTTAATCCTGAGTCGAGGACCACAAAAATTGCAAAAGACCAGAGCAGAACAACAACACAAAGAAAGCAGAGAAAAGGGAAAAGAAAAGAGAGCAAAGAGAGAAGAGTATTGAAGGAAATAATAAAGGAATAAAATAGAAAGATAAAAAGAAGTAAAAATGACTAGCATAGAAACATTCTATGACTAGCATAGAAATAAATAAGTCACCATTTAGTAAAGTGACAGGCATGAAATATCTATCCCATATCCAATGCTGGGCCCAGAGAGTCCAGAGCAGCCCAGCCCAGTGGATCAGATGAAATCAAGCATTGGGATGAAACCCAGCCCCTAGGATTTCCCCCCCTTGGACCTGCAGTCACTGGCTCATATCAGCCTCCTCCAAAGCCCGCTCTGTGTTTCAGGATGTTGCCGTTGCAGAGTGGGATTTTGAGAGGTCTTTGTAGTGTCTCGAGGGCTTTCGGGAGGCAGAAGCTGAGGGCGAGAACCTTTGAGAATAATCCTGAAGGGCCACCACAAACAAAAGAAAAAACAGAAATATTAGGTTCTAGAACAGTGTTTCCCAACCACTGTTCCTGTGCCGAGATGTTGCCTGGTGTGCCGTGGGGAAAATTCGAAAGATTATTTTTTTTTTTGTAAAAGTCAAATTAGGTCCTAATCTATCCCTCGAGCGCCTCTTGTCCGTTATTGTGACGCATGAAGCGTGTTCCCGCCCACTCCCTGCCCTCCCTTGCTTCTCTCTCTCTCTCTCTCTGTGGCGTTCTCCGCCGCTTCCTGCTGGGCATGCGCATTCCGACCCCTCCTTCCCCCGACTACCCCGCCGCTCCGTTCCTTTCTCTTTCTCGCGTGTCAGAGAGCGGCGGCGCGAGCGCGGCGGTTCCCTCAGGGCTGACGGAGGGCTCGAGGAGGAGGAGGCAGGACGTGGAGGTGGAGAAAGCGGCGGCGGCCACCCCCCACCTCCGGCTCGAGGCCCGCGTAGAAAGCTGAGGGGGAGAGATAGATAGAGGTGGGCGGCGGCGGCGGCGACCACGACCAACCGCCACAGTAGTTGTAGCGGTGGCGACGGCGAGCAGGGACTCCTGCTCTCTCTCCGTCGTGTCTCTCTCTCTCTCTCTCCCGGGCCCGTCCGTTGAGTCTCCCGCGCGCCTCGGCTACAAGATGAGCATCGAGATCCCACCGGGTCTGACTGAGCTGCTGCAGGGCTACACGGTGGAGGTGCTGCAGCACCGGCCGCCGGACCTGCTGGCCTTCGCCGCCGAGTACTTCGCCAAGCCGCGCTCTCCTTCCTGCCTCGCTTTGCTGCCTCCTCCCCCCCACCCCCAAAGCTTGGAGGTTCCCCGGCGCCGACCCGCAGGTTTGACCCCCTTCTCACACCTGTTCGCGCTCCTTGCACGGAATGGGGCGGATGGGGAGGAACGGGGCTCGCCGCTGCCTCCGCTCGCCCTCCCCCCCTCCGCCGGCGGTCCCGCGATTCTTGGCTTTTTGGCGGTTGGCACAGAAGGAAGGCAAGGGGGAGGGGAAAAAAATGAATCTTACACTTTCGTGCGTCCCTCCCGGCGTGACGCTGCGCGCTGACGTCACGGGGCTGTAATGGTGGTGTGCCTCGAGATTTTTTTCATGAAACAAGTGTGCCTTTGCCCAAAAAATGTTGGGAAACACTGTTCTAGAAAGCAAATCAATGACATCTTCAAATAGCTCAAGGGCTGTCACAAGGAAGATTTCTTGTTTTCTCCTGCTCTGGAGGTGAGGACCCAAACCAATGGCTTCAAGTTACAAGAAAGGAAATTCTGAGTAAACATGGGAATAGTTTTCTGGCAGTTAAAGCTGTTGGATAGTGGAACGGACTCCCTCGGAAGATGGAAGGCTCTCCTCCCTTGGAGGTTTTTAAGCAGAGGTTGGGCCATGGATCTGCCATGGATGCTTTAGTTGAGATTCCTGCATTGCAGGGGGGGGGGTCCCTTCCAACTCTACAATTCTGTGATCACGCAACCACAACCACCCCCACTGGAGGATTTGCACAGCTGCATTGCAATCCTAGATTTGCATGAAGAAGTGGGGTTGGGAAGGTGAAAAGTGAGCTAGGTAGCTGCATTGGGTGGGAAGAGGAAGTTTGAGGGTGTTAATGTGGGTGGGGAGTAGCAGGGGGTTTGGTGAGCCGAGCGAGTGGGGGCGCAGCTGCTTGTGCTAATAGAATCTTTCAACTATACAAAACAGCAACAATGCACACTGCATTGCGGGGGGTTGCAGTCGAGGACCCTCGGGGTTTCTTCCAAGTCCACAGTTCTATGATACAGGTAATCACTGAAACATCTGTTTCAACGAAGAACCTTTTGTCAAGTTCCTTCAGGAGACTGATATCTTCTAATCCCTTGGTGGGGTGTTTGTGTGTGTGTGTGTGTGTGTGTAGAGTTTGTCCCCAGATTCCAGCTTGGATGATGGTGCACACGAGGAAACAACTTTGTCGTTTTTGTATATGGTTGAAAGTGTATGTTAGTTCAATACAGGTGCTATTTGGAGCAGCATGGCTGGACTGAGAGCCAGGAGGCCAGGGTTCGAATCCCCCACTCGGCCAGGAGGCTCACTAGACAACTTTGGGGGCTGGTTGCTGCATCTCAGCCTAACCTACCTTGGGGGTTAATTCAGGAGTGGGGAAAACTATGTATGCCAGCTTGATCTCTGAGAAAAAAGTGGGATAGAAATACAATACATCAATACCATTTGAGTCCCTTATCTGTGATGAAGAAACAGCTACTGTCGCATCCTGTGGACCAGGTGGCCGCAGGCTCTGTGGTTTGGCTGCTGGGGCTTTAACCAGGCAGGGCTCACCCTTCAGCCTCACCCAACTGCCTGTTTTTGGTCTTAGCAAACCACAAACCTTCCTCTCCCGCCCCTGTTTTCTCCTGACAGGTGGACCTCCTGCACAAGCCGATCGAGGACGCCTCCATCCGGAAGAAGTGCGAGGACGCCGTGAGCTTGATCCACAGCGCCTGGCAGCGGAGTGACAGCCTTTGCCGCGGGAGGGCTTCCCGGGACCCCTGGTGTTAGCCTCCCGGCCGGCAGGGAAAAACACGACTCTGCGGCAGCGTGGGCATTGGCCATCTTCACGAGCCAGAGGCTGCTTGAAGTGGAGCTGGGCCTCCCTGCGGCCGCCTGGCTGCCAGCAGAATCCAGCTGGAGACGAAAGGGGGCCGTGTGAGTGAGTGTGCACGTGTAATAATAGGCCGATGAAGCACTGCGATCCTCGAGCAACTTCCACCGGGCCCACCTTGCTGCATCTCGCCTACTCCTGCTACATCTCAGCTGGAGGTTACGGTACGAGGGCTGCCGGCAGCGATGGACAGGACTGGATTGCTGGCGCTCCGCTGGCAGCCCTCCCAGGGGCCTGGGGGCAAGGCCTCATCTTCGAAGAATACTAATCTTTTATTAACGGGGATGGGGTAGAGGGGCACGACCCGGGCCGGGAGGTCTGGAGCTGTTAGGATGAGGCAAGGTTGGGACGTGGCGGACACCCTGCATGCATTTCTCTTGTCAAAACGAAGCGGAAACTCGCTGGTCTTATTCCACTTTCGCCCCACCCTGAGGTACAGACAAATCTCCGCCTGCTGCTCTCCCATCTCTACCTTCGTCCCCCAGATGTTCTCGTTCTGTGAAGGGATCTCTGCCTGTCTCCAGCCCCTCTGCCCTGGTCTCGGCAGGCTACCGGGCAAAGCTGGCGCAGCGGATCTAGGCCTTCGCCATCTCTTCAAGGAAGCTGAGAAAGAGCAGCCAGGGTGGGAGTGGCGGCGCCGGCAGCCTCCTCTGCTTGGCCAGCAGGTGGGGCTCTGTCCCCAGGTTTCCCTGGGTGGAGTGGAGTTTCCCAGGAAAGGACCTGTTGTCAGGAGTGGGCTTTGACCTGGTGCAGTGAGATCCTCTTCTCCTCCTTGCCCCCTGCAACCAGAGAAGCTTCCTTTGGGGGGGCGGTCTTCCCTGGCAGCTGCTGGTCTGTGCAGATCCTGCCTCTTCACATTCCTGTTGTTTTGCAGGAGCGGAGTCCCTCTCTGCCTGCCTCCCTCCTGGCTGGCTTGAGGGCAGTGGTAATGCTGCTGGGGGGGGTGCTGGAAGGGAGCTGGGTGGGTGGTGCTGATCTGTTTATGCCAAGAGCAAATCTATAGGAAGCAGGGGCCGCATTGGTTATCCCAGCCATGATAAGCAGGGTTCGGGTTTTATTTGCCTGAGGAGGGTGGTGTTGTGTTTTTTTTAAGCTGTTGGTATTTTAAATTTTCTTTAACAGAGAAGAGACTTGCTAATGTATTTTATGCGTTCATGCGGGGGTCTCCCCTCCCCCCAAGAGGTGGCCTGTGTGGCAGAATGTATCTGCACATACATCTCCCCTCCTACCCTGTAATAAACACTCCTTGGTTAATGCTGAGTCTGCCTGCTTGCCTGGGACATCAGGGGGTGACCCGAAAGCTCCCTGTAGCTCAGTGGTTCCCAGACTTGGGTCTCCAGCTGTTTTCAGACTACAATTCCCATAATCTCTGAACAATGGTCTTGCTAGCTAGGGATGATGGGAATTGTAAAGGTAAAGGGACCCCTGACCATTAGGTCCAGTCGTGGCTGACTCTGGGGTTGCGGCGCTCATCTCGCTTTATTGGCCGAGGGAGCCGGCGTACAGCTTCCGGGTCATGTGGCCAGCATGACTAAGCCACTTCTGGCGAACCACAGCAGCACACGGAAATGCCATTTGCCTTCCCACCAGAGCGGTACCTATTTATCTACTTGCACTTTGACGTGCTTTCGAACTGCTAGGTTGGCAGGAGCAGGGACCGAGCAATGGGAGCTCACCCTGTCGCGGGGATTCGAACCGCCGACCTTCTGATCGGCAAGTCCTAGGCTCTGGGGTTTAACCCACAGCACCACCCGCGTCCCAATGAGAGTTGTAGGGTGGTTTTATTTGCCAGGGCGGCAGGAGGACCAGCTTGCTCTTCTCTGGCTGTTTCTTCTCCAAAGGGATTTGACAAATTGTTATCTCAGTTTAATCTTTGCTCCTGTTCTCTCGTCTCCTTGCTATGTTGGTTACCTGTTTGTGCTTTAAGGTGAGGAGCGGAGCCTCGGGTGTCATTTGGTAAATAGGCTTCAGCCTGGGAAAGGACTCTGCCTGGGGGAGAGACTTTGGATAGTTGCTGCCAGTCAGTGTAGACAATACAGAGCTTGATGGACCCAGTGGTCTGAATGAGTGTAAGGCAGATTCCTATGCCAGGGAGGAGGCTTTTCTAACCTTTGCAGTCCTGGCAGGAAGTGCCAACTTGTAGAGACCCCAAAATGGAAACAGACCTCATGTGCCTTTTGCACAGTAAGGCCTCAGGGCCGCACCCAAGAGCAGGAGAAGCTGGTGCCCCCAGATGGGTGCAGGAGGCTCCACGACCAGGGCAAAGGGCAGCCAGGGGTCCCTTTGCCCCCTCCTGTGCCCTAGTTCCCAACCCGCCTCCTCCTCGGCACCCTTCCATGTTTTTGTCCTCTCAGTGCATCTTACGCAAGCATCAGCAATGCCACACTCTCCTGAGACGTGCTATTTCGAGCTGTTGACAAGAAGACGCCTCCAGACTCAGCCAGCTGCTCTTTTTCGGGCACAGGGATTGCTGCCGGTCCTCCTCGGACACGTGCTCAAGGCGTGCCCCTGCTCTGCCTCTGTGGAAGGGCCACGCATGCACAGCAGCAGAGGCACTGTGTGCCCGGGGCAGGATTCTTGGTGCGTCGTTTGCCGAGATTCACACCCAGTGCCACTTCACTGCCATCCTTAGCCATCCTCTGCAGCTGGAGGCCATAAACGCCTCTCAATCCCAGTGGCCGAGAGTCGCAACAGTGTGGTGGTTGCCCTCAGTCTTCCTTTGAGGCTTCTCGGTGGGGCACCAGGTTGACCACTGAGAGGACAGAAGGCTAGGCCTGGTACCCCCCACCCCACATTGGCCTGATCCACCTGCTTCCAGGCAGGGGCGAAGGAAGGCTCTCCGGCACCTGGTGCTGGGTGTCGAGAGGTGGGGCATACTGGCCACAGGGGCGGGTAAACCGCCCGGCAGCTCATGCGCAGTGCCGCTGCGTACGCTGCATGTGCGTGCTTTATGTACAGCACATGCACGTGCGCTGCTATGTACGGCACGTGCGCGGTGCCGCTATGTACAGACGGTGGCGGGATCCTCTGCTCGTGGCTGCAGCGGGGCGGAGCAAACCGCTTAGTGGTGCATGCGCAGCACTACTACATACAGTGCATGCGCGGCTGCACATGTACCATACAGACAGCAGAGGGATCCTCCACTCGTGGCTGCAGCAGCAGCGGAGGAAACCACACGAGGCGGCGGTGGTGCAATGGCGATGGCTCGCACTGCTGCACCCGGGAGTGGTGGGCCAAGCCCCATGTGGGGTGCCCTCTTGTCACCCCCCCCCCAGAGATGACTGCCGCTCCTGCTCCCTTCCCCCGCCACTGCTTCCATGCTTTCTTATCCACATTGGTCTTAACTGGGCCTGTTCATCTGCCTTTCCAGACTTGATAGGTCAGTTGGTTAGAGCGTGGTGCTGAAAATGCCATGGTTGCAGGTTCGATCCCCTTAAGGGACAGCAGGGGATTGGACTAGATGATCCTCAGGGTCCCTGCCAACTCTATGAATCTTCCCAAATTCAGCTTCATTGTGTTATAGAAAAAATAGGGGGGTTGTTTTTTGCTGCCCAACTCCCCAAGTGACTGAGTCCCCTAAGTCCATGATCGGTCAGAGATGAATGGATGGAGGCAAGATCCATAGAAACCAAGGGGGATCTTTATTTTTCTGTTGCAACAGAGTCCCCACCCCCTTGCAAGGAGGTAGGAGAGACCCAGAACAATGGTGTGCAAGACCCTATAAAGACTTTTGAAATTGCCGAAGACCACCCCCCAAAACATCATACATACATCACAGAAGGAGGCGGTCTCCAGCAGAAATTTGAGAGTGTTGCTTCTCCTCTGTCTGCCAGGATTCCTGATAATGACTTACTTGATTGCGTTTTCTGGGTAGCCTGGCCATTCCTTGAAGATGGCAAATACTTCAGTTCCTGAATTTCTTACACATTTTGATAGTTTGCTCAGCTTAACCAGGCTGTATTTGCAGGAAGGTGTAAGGCCCCTACAGTCCAAAGACAATAGGAAAGCTTTTCCCATTTCCTTCCTCCTTGCAGAGAAATTGGGAGAGTCAAAATGGCTTCAGGATTGCTCTTCTGTGCTATTTCAAACATGTGTACATTTATGAGCATCAATTCTATATTTGAGACCTTAGAATTTTGATAAAAATTGGATGATACGGATTCCTCTTGGGTGACTCTGGGTATGTGTACATGATGAAAAAAACACCCACATGTGTGTGTGTTGCCTGCCTAGCTGACTGGACTGCTCTCCCCGCAAGGAATGCATCCCACTAATCACACTTTTTCAGGAATTCAAGGCTGGCCGCTGGGGGTTGGGGGTTTTTTTGTTCTCGTCTGGAAAGAGCTGCATCTCCCCCCCCCCCCACTTGCAGAGCAGTGTGTTCCTGCAAGCTCAGGAGCAAAATGATCTCCAGTAAACAAAAAAGGGAGGCAGGCAGAACTGGGTGTGTGTGTTGTGTGTGTGTGTGTGTGTGTGTGTTTGTGTGAACTTTCCCCTACATTCTGCCTGCTTCCCTCCCTTGCCCAACCCCTTCCCTGGCACCAAGCAAATACTGTAGAGAGGAAGGCACCACCCAACCACCCCTCCCAGAGGCGGAGAGTCAGCTGAGGGAGGGGGCTGGCCAGCGATATAAGCCCAAAGGTGTCACTCAAGTGGCACAAACAGTCCTGCATGGCACAAAGCAAGCTGGAGAGCAGGGCAGGAAGAGAGGAGCTGGTTGCTGGAGGAGAGGGGCTGATCTCTCCAGGAAAGGGGGAGTTGGTGGCAGCATTGGCACTGGCCAAGCAGGCTCCTGCCGGGGCCCACCTGCAGTCCCACCAAACTTCTCTGGAGACAGAGCTCTGCTAGCTCAGTTTCAGAGGAGACCCCCCTGCATGTCCTGCCAGGTCGTCCCTGT